CCATGTCGGGTGATGCCGGCTGGCCGACTCTGCCGGGCCGCCTCGACGATGAAGATGGTGCCAGATTGCCGCCCGAGTGTCTGCTGCACCGGCGCGTTCGCACGGACTTCGACGATGACGATCAGCAAGACCTCATCGCCTTGCAACCCTTCAAAATCCTGAGATGTGTGTACAAGAAGGCGTTGGGGTTTCCATCCGAGCTGCAGGCCCAGGCGGATGAGATGGTTCAGACCCTACAAATCGGTGTGCACCTCGCCAAGTCGCCGCCGGGTTTGTCCTGTCTGGGCCTTCGAGGCGGCAGCCCGATGACCAACATCGAAACCGTCCAGGACAGCATCGTCGTCCTCACCACCACTTTCCTCCATGATTTTGACTACACCTTCTATCTGGTCTATGAAGCCTCCAGTGGTTCGCTCCACATGATCCCCATGCCAGAAAATCCTTGTTTCATTCTCACAGGGCTCAGTGCTAGCATGCTCATCGCGAGGTCATTCTACACTGCCGACTACGCGCTGGTTGTATTGGGCAAGCTGGACGGGCAAGAGGGGGATGTTCCGTTGGTATGGCTGTCTTCATCCTCGTCACCATCTTGGTCTGAGATCAAGACCACCGTCTTCAGCCAACCCCCCTCATTGATGCTGCACTATGCTGATATGAGCTTTACTATCGGATCCATGGCCTGCTGGGTGGACCTCCTGCGCGGCGTCGCATTCTCTTGGTGCAACACCCTCTTCCCCAAAGACTGTCGCAAGGAACCCACGCTTAACTTTGGCTTCTTTTCCTTGCCCAGAGAGTTGCCTGGAGCAGATCACTGTCGCGACAACACCCGGGTGGCACAGCCAGAAGCCTACCGCACCATAGGCGTCGTCCAAGGTTTCATCAGGTTCGTCTCCATCGACGGCTTTCTCGACTATGTCGACCTCAAGGACCGCACCTTGACAGTCTGGAAGCGAACGTTGAACCGTGTGTGGCAGTTGGAGTACAAGCTCAGTCTCGAGACCCTATGGGGGCTCCAGGGATTCGGCGACTTGCCAAAGAACCTAACTCCCATGTACCCTCTCCTTAGCACAGAGAATACGGATATTGTCTACTTTGCACTTGGGGAATATCTGGAGAACCGGCGCAGGTGGAAGTTTATCCCAATATGTGCACACTATCTACTCGCGGTCAACATGCAGAGCAACACAGTCCAGGCTTCCATATCTCTCGCAGACTGTTTTGGCAGTCCTGACATCCCAGACCTTGTTACTTCTAGTTTCAGCCGGTATGTCCATGTCGTGGGGCATGATCTACACATTATGATGATGGACACGATGAAGCAAATGGCGTCGATCCATTTGGACCCCATTGACTATGATGAAAGGGAGGCTCGGAAGGTGATGAGGGAGAGCCCATTCAACTGGCAAGGAACTTTGAAGGACAAACCTATCTTTTATCCAGCTCGCTACTACTCGCAACCATCATTGCTTCGTCTCACCCAATCAGGTAGTAGCCTGCTAATCAAACATTCATGCCATTAACTGTGTAGAATAGTGCTCAACATTATTTTTGTCACATGTGTAGCTTGAATTAATATGACATTTATTCTCGGTGCTGAAGATATTTACTTCCTTTTCACAGCCACTGCAGACATCATTCCGGAGATATCAGGGTGACATGTTGTCTTTTTGGTAAGTGCATTCCAATTCTTTCTGATTTAAGCCTCTGAGATTCCAAAATACTAAAAAACTAAACTCTGCTTCACCGCGTTTACAAAATTCAAACTCTCAAAGAAAAAGCAAAAAACATTCTAGAAACATTGCACAAAGGGAAAAGTACACTGATGCAGGTCAGCTTGCAGGTGGGATGACTTGCGGGCATCCCGCATCTTTCCACATAATTATGTGGGACTAAACGGGCTGCCAACATAATATATGTCGGTTGCCGCATACCCACTGACTACACGAAAGAACAATTGTGGGCTAGTGATTGTACAGCATGTCCACCTCCCATAGCAGTACAAAACGTACCCACATATTCCACATACCGCATACTCCACTATAGGCTGTAGCAGTACATTATTTGAGGACAGAGCATGGTGGTACACAGGCTAGAGGATACACAGCTAAAACCTGTAGGTCAAAACATCTAGATTAAATACGTTTGTGTTCATTCCAGGATAATTTCACCAAGGTGGCATGTTGCCATTTTTGCTAAGAGTCTATTTTTTTGCGAATTCATTTTTTTCTTAGAGTCAATGCGTGGTCATTTTGCATATTTAGGTTCTAAACCGTTCGCCCTTCAACGAATGGTGCATAATCTGACTTTAAGTGACTCTCGCAACATATTCATAATTTCATATTGCACTTTAGTTTTCTTAAAAGCGCTGGAATGATTTCATCTTTGACATATATAAAGAAGTGCTTCTTGGTCATATATGTCTTGCCTTGGTTTCTAGTATTTCATGATTACCTTGTTTAGCAATTGACATCGTTTCAAAATCCCTTTGTATGAACTTTTCACATGAATATGAGCTCGCAATTGATGATTTTCTGTAGAGTAAATCGGCTCGGAAAAAGAGAAAAAACTACTTTTAGCTGGCGTATTGTTGGTTGGTTACAAATTCCCGTGCAGTCTTCCAATCATATTGAGCAGCATCTTCAGAGACTATGTTCATGACGGTACAGATGTAGTAGTAGAAGCATGGGTACAGATGCCAAATCTGTCAAGGCTCTCCAGAGACCTTTTAATAATATAGTTCAATGCAAGGAATGAATAGAGGCAACATCTAATTAGACTATTAGTTTCCCTACCATAATAATTGGTAATCATATAGCTCAAAATTTATCACCATAGAAAATATTAATACTGGGTGATGCCATGAAGCATTGTTAGTGTCAGAAACATAACAAATCTTGGAAAGAAATGGCCAATTGCACAAGTTGTTTGAATATTTGCACAAGTAATTATGTTACATGATTTTCTTATGAAAATGGACTAATCAAATTCAATTTGTCATACCGTCGTACTCTCCTTAACCTTCTCTACTGATTTGATAGTAATATTTTTTTCCTAAACAACTACAGCTATTTTGAGCATTTCATATCTGATAACTAGAGTATCCATATTGTTCTCTGCTATAGTTAATTTTTTTTCTTTTTCTAGAAGCCAAATTGTGGTCATGCTGATGGTTGGGGTTAATTACCATAAATCATACAGATTGTACTTCAAACCTACGTATTATGTAACCCTCTATTGATTGATTGTGACCAGCAAGTAGAAAGTAGTGGCATTGCAATGCATATCAGTGCTGCAGAAAAGTGTTCCTTTTAAGTTTTAACCAAGCATGCATTTTCTAAAAAGTAATGCTTGGTGTGAGATGGAATTGATCACAATAGCACCTTTAGTGTAATTATTGATATATTATTTTTCACTTGCGCCTCCTCCTGTGCTTGTGATGGCTTTGTCCATTATCTGTTATTTTCTTCATAACAATATGCAGTATTGGCTGCTAAGCTTAATGTTTTATATCTCTAGTTAGGCAATCACGGTGGTAAAAGTACTTTAGGAAAGCAGTCTTTTTTTCTACACATTCGTTCCTGCTAGTTAAATATATTATTGTTGCAGTTCATTTGATTAGCTCATGAGTAAAATTTGTAAGTACTGTATGGCACTTAGATGGTCTTGTGCTTAAACTGAATCGTATATTTTTTTCATCTTTTCCAGCACATGAAGATCGATGAGCAAGAAGCACTATAACTCGAGGAAAAGGAAATAACTTCTGTATCATGTACCATCCAGATATAACAAAACTGATGCAATTCAGTGGGGATCATCTTCAGTCGTTCATACTCTGTCTCGCTGATCAAGTTCTAGAAATGATCATGTCATGTTATGTATCACTTGATATATATGTACGTCTCTTGTGTACTTGAATTGGGCTCCAGTTTGACATGTACTCAAATATTTGTGCGTGGGTTGATCCACTTTGACAGGTACTCGCTCCGTCTGGAATTACTTGTTGCAGAAATTGATGAAAATGGATGTATTTAAAACTAAAATACATCAGATACATTTATTTCTCCAACAAGTATTTTTGGATGGAGGGAGTATTCAAATATTTGTGTCTGGGATGGTCCAGCTTGACATGTATTACCTCTGTCCCAAATTAGTTGCCTTAATTTTATCATGTGCTCAAATATTCGTGACAGATATTTACTTACCAACATGTTAAGTTTTTTTGCACAACTGGGCATCTAGTAGAAACAACTATTGTAATTAAATATCAAGATATGTATTTTTTTTCATAAAACTACTGAACAACACAGGCGCCTTTGGATTGTGATCTCGTGGCTGTGATTGCAGTCGACTTTATCTTTTGATTTTTATCCCACCCTGCTCCCGCGTACCACTCCTGCTTTTCAATTTTCGTGCGATCGCCCCTGCATTCTTTAGTGTCCGTTTTCTTCCACGCATGTAAGAGCATCTCCAGCCGTTGGCCCCTCAGGGGGCGCCTAAAATCGCCGCCTGAGGGTGACCCGGCGCAAAAAATGGGCCTAGGGGCGAGTTGGCCACCAGGGCCGGCCCCAGGCGCGGGAACTTTTTTTTTAGGCAAACTTGAGCTAAAACACGTCAAATTTCGGTAAACTTGGGCTTATATTCGCAAACTTGGGCTAAAACACGCCATTATAAAAACTAATAAAAAAACTTGCTGAAGGCCCAGAAGTCGCCGTCGTCGCCGCCATCGTCGGCCTTCTCCTGCTTTACTCGGGCGCCCCTGCCGGACTCCTCCCCGGCTGGTGGCGGCGCGTCGTCGTCGTCGCTGTCGTCGATGATGACGACTCCGCCTTCGTCGCGGCCTCGGCGGCACTGCACTAAGTGCTGCAGGGCGGCGCGCTGGCGTTCCCTCGCCATCTTCAGGGAGTCCTGGCGTGCCCATTCAAGGGCCGCGTCGTCGTCGAGCTCAACCTTGCCGTGCTCCGTCTTCACCGGCGCCAGCCCCAGCTTCATCTTCACCGGCGCGAGACCCGGCTCCGTCTTCGGCTTGACGAAGCGCGGGGGAGGAGCCGGCGAGGAGGCGCGCCGGCCGCCCTTGCTGATGACGATGCCGGCGCTGCGTGTGCGCCGGGCGAGAGGCATCTCCGCCGCGGGCTCGGCCTTGATGCCGAGCAGTGTCGGAGTGCCGGAGGATTGGGAGGAAGAGCGCGACGAGGAAGAAGAGGAGGAGGAGCCGAACCTCCTTGGCGCCCATTGCTCGTCGCGTCGGCGGTGCGCCGGGGCGGCCTCCCTCGCCGGGGGGTACGCCAACGGTGGGTTGTTGCTGCCCTCGAGGTGCGTCAGGACGCCGTCGAGGGTGCAGCAGGGGACGCCCCACCACAGCTGGCGCCCCTCGCTGTTCTTGATGCCGCCGACCACCGGCGCCCCATTGGTGGACGCCAGCCGCTGCTGCTGGCGGCGCTCGAAGTGTTGGGGAACGTTGCAGAAAATTAAAATTTTTCCTACGGTTTCACCAAGATCCATCTATGAGTTCATCTAAGCAACGAGTCAAGGGAGTGAGTTTGCATCTACATACCACTTGTAGATCGCGTGCGGAAGCTTGTAAGGGGATGGTGATGATGGAGTCGTACTCGACGTGATTCAGATCACCGATGTCCAAGTGCTGAACGAACAGCACCTCCGCGTTCAACACACGTATGGGACGGGAGACGTCTCCTCCTTCTTGATCCAGCAAGGGGGAAGGAGAGGTTGATGATGATCCAGCAGCACGATGGCGTGGTGGTGGATGCAGCAGAACTCCAGCAGGGCTTCGCCAAGCAACTACGGGAGGAGGACGAGGTGTAGCAGGGGGAGGGAGGTGCCAAGCACAAGGGTGCGGCTTCCCTCCCCCTTGCCCTCCTTTATATAGGCCCCCGGGGGGGCGCCGGCCCTGGGAGATTGGATCTCCCAAGGGGGCGGCGGCCAAGGGGGGAGGAGTGCCCCCCAAGGCATGTGGTGCGCCCCCCACCCTAGGGTTTCAACCCTAGGCGCAGGGGGTGGGCCTAGGGGGGCGCACCAGCCCACTATGGGCTGGCTTCCCTCCCACGTCAGCCCATGGGGCCCTCCGGTATGGGTGGCCCCACCCGGTGGACCCCCGGGACCCTTCCGGTGGTCCCGGTACATTACCGGGTGACCCCGAAACTTTCCCGATGGCCGAAATACCACTTCCTATATATTATTCTTTACCTCCGGACCATTTCGAAACTCCTCGTGATGTCCGGGATCTCATCCGGGACTCCGAACAACATTCGTTATGCTGCATACTCATATTCATACAACCCTAGCATCACCGAACCTTAAGTGTGTAGACCCTACGGGTTCGGAAGACATGCAGACATGACCGAGACGACTCTCGGGCAATAACCAACAGCGGGATCTGGATAACCATGTTGGCTCCCACATGCTCCTCGATGATTTCATCGGTTGAACCACGATGTCGAGGATTCGATCAAACCCCGTATACAATTCCCTTTGTCAATCGGTACGTTACTTGCCCGAGACTCGATCGTCGGTATCCCAATACCTTGTTCAGTCTCGTTACCGGCAAGTCACTTTACTCGTACCGTAATGCATGATCCCGTGGCCAACACCTTGGTCACCTTGAGCTCATTATGATGATGCATTACCGAGTGGGCCCAGA